AACGGAACTATGTGAGGCTTGACAATGAAGAACCATTTTTTTATTGATCAAACTGTGCACAACGCATCAAAGGAAGAATCAACCACTTTGGAAATGAAAACTTGAAATAACCTGTAAATTGAGTACCATAACAACAAAATAGTAATAGGTATTTGCGCCTAGTCTCTATTATTCACAATAAGCTTGTAGAGAAATCAAATGTGCATTCCATTGTGAACTACCTGATGTTCAGATGATAGAACAATATGAAAGGCCAAGATAATGAAAGATACATGACTGATATGGTGTACATGACCAAGTTGCAAACAATAGGTAAGTAAGAGACGTACATTAATCAAGTGATATACAATGATCATTAGAAGTTAAAGGTCAACCATGATTTGGTGTATCCAACTATTCACTTCCGTGATGGAACTATCCTACTGCATCTCATTAACCTACTTTATCTTAATTTGTCAATCTCCCATAAACAAACGGCTTCCATTTATCATTTTCCACTAATGCCTGACCAAGAAGGTCAAGGCCCCCTGTGGTGTAACCACCCTACACAAATTTATCCAATTTACCTCCCTGGTGTTCTTCAATAATTGGCTGCTGTAAACCCATTGCCTTGTAAAAGAACTTCAGATTGATCATCATGCTGTTATTCATTTATATCATTTATAGAGATTGACCAAGGATACAATACCATCAAATTTCAAACACATTAGCCAAACTACTGCCTCCAAAGTCTTACCCAATACCTCACAAGAGAGCTTGAGTAGTATCAAAAACGCAATTCATATGTATGTCTTGCTCAATCTATAAACGTAATACCTGATTGAAGTTGAATGCTAACAAAGCTTGAACCTGCGCTATCCGGTTATCATAACAGCCAACCTGATCCCTCAATACCTGTAGTTCTCTTGGCCAGCCAAAATTCACATGTTTCCGCGCAAACTCCATCCCAAAATAGTTGTGGCACCCTGGAAAGCGGTTCCCCAATGTTTCTGTCAAACAAGTGGCTCCATTCTGACATTCATTCAAGGAGATAAAACTGAAACCAACCTGTGAAAACAGTCATTGCAAGGCCATAAATCCGACTGGTCAGAACTCACAAGTAGCTAGCTATACCAACTTACTCCAGGAGCAGTGGTTTGGATTAGCTCATTGTCCGGTTGTTTACATTGATTGATCAATTTGAAGGCAAAGGAACCAATCTGAACGTACCTTTGATCAATTTTTTGATCTTCAAACATTCTCAAGTTGTTTTTGACCTCAATCTGAGTGTTTCAATCCAAGTAAGCTTTTTACTCAGTTAGTTGGATAGGTTAGCTCATTGCATAGAAAATACTAATAAACACTGAAAGGTCTCGATTGTCTCTTTTTATGTTGCTTTTCTTGAATGGCATCCGATCCATCAACAGGTGAATCAACCAAATCATCAATTTTAGAACATGATTGAGTTGCTTTTAGATTTTGAGCAAGGGGTTTGACTTGCAAAGTACAGGTCAACTTAATACAGTCATTGTTTCAATTAGTTGATTGCAAAAGATTAATTGAGTTAGCTTTTTATAATCTTTGACTTGAAATCACATCGGATTGATTGATTTCAAGGCAAGAAGAAACCATTTGGATCCATTGATTTCAAGGCAAAAAGAAATCATTTGGATTGTTTTCTTTTTCCTCAAGTGATGCTTCAATCCAGAAACTAATTGATTTCCTAGCTCACACATGTAAGCTCTTTGAATCAAATTAGTACCCCGCCCTTCTAATTTTTCAAGCTTTCACCAGTTTGATATTTGAGAAGACTGACCAATAAAATCTTTTATTTTCTTTTGATTTGATTGGGCTCTTGATTGAATGCTCCGTTGAAATCACTCAATGTCAATGCAATAATCATTTGGTTGATTCACATATTCATCCACATATACACTTCTCATTGTATCTATGTCAACCTGAGAGGCTTTTGCGGAGCAAAACCTCCAAGGTATGCACAAAACACCTAAACACCTAACAAAACCAATAACAATAATTACAACTCTATCACTCAGTTTCAAGAGTGTAAAAGGAATAACTTGTCCAGACAATAACATACTTCTATCTCTTACCAAGGGTCCAGACAACATTACCCTGGCCAGGAAGCTCCTTTTTTTATCAAACACATGAAGTCATTTTAAAAATAACTAGAACTCGCATCAGAACAAAACCACTCTGGTACGAATTTGACAATTATATATTAAAAACCCTACTCAGGAATTAGTACCCAAAACAACCCAACCAGGCAAGAGAAACAGGGAAGGGCTGCTTTCTTACAAACCAGTAACAGAACCTGATCAGCTTACCACGGCTCTATGATAACAAAGCAGGGTTTTGATGACATCACTAAGTAAGTTCATGTATTTGTTATATAAAGACCTCGTACCATCTAAGAGTAAAAAGAATCATCCTTACGACTAACCTTTACTATAAAAAACCCACCTTTTTTCTTAAAAACTCTTTTTCTTTTCAAAAAGCTTTTTAAACAAACCCATTTTCTTTGGCCCTTGCTATCTGCAGCCCACACAAAATCCATGTAGGCGCTGCCAAAACAGCGCCTACATGAAGGTTTCCCTCAAAAAAGCGCCTACAGGCTGAAAAACCAATGTAGGCGTCATTTGTGTACGCCTACATTCTAAAAATAAAATGTAGGCGTAAATTTGAAGTGCCTACATTGTGTAGGCATCACAAAAATGCGCCTACATCTTTTTTTTGACTGTAGGCGTAACTGTAGGCGTAATTTTTGTGGCCCCTACATATTTTAATACCAACACCCTTATAATTTAATTC